GTGCATTGCAAGATTATGATGTACCTTGCATCAGTATACCAGAAAAAAATTGAAATGTAAATGAGAAAATCCATAAAAAAATATCCCAAATTTGTTGCCTGTTTAAAAAAAAATTTTTTTGATGGGCAAATCTTGGATATTATTTGTGGATTTCTCATACCCATACACATATTGTTATACGTTTCCAAAGAACTCGTTTATTGTAATTAGCTTTGTAAGATGTATATATGACTATAAGATGCATGTAAGATATCCATGACTATGTTTTTTTATAAAAATGGATTAATTCGAAATAAACTTTTATTTATTTAACTAATGATAATTTAAAATTTTATCCATTTTCATTCAGTTGTATCCAAACCTTTTAACATAACCAATTATGTGTGACTTGAATGTTTTTTGTTTAATTAAATTAATTAATAAATAGCAAAACTGTGTGGCAATTTTCATGGCTATTTTTATATTTTGGCGGCGATTTATGGTGTGGCGATTTTTCAGACACTAGGTGGCGGTGCCTGCTTTTACGGTGTTGGACGTTGGACACACTGGCGAGGAAGAGGAGGGTAGCGGCTAGCGGCTAGCGGCAGCGGTCGGTTGAGCAGCGAGAATTGCGGAACAAATTAGCAAGTATATTAGTATGAGCATGTATTATTTTTATATATACATGTATATTTCTCAATGGTCCAACAGTTACAAGCAGAGTTATAATTGCTAAGCATCATCTTCAAAATATTCAGGAATCTATTTGTATTCTGTGTTTAGTAATCTCAACAGTACACTTTACCCTCGACTTTACCAACATCATGGGCGACTTGAAGAAAAGGCACACTATTCAATCGTACTCGAAATTATTGCAGACTAGATTAACATCTGCCGAAGCTCAATCTGCCGCTGCTGCTTTAGCCAAGAAGGATTCTTTAAAATCCATTAAGGCTCGTCAGGATGGAAACAGGCTCTACGTTAAAAAGGGTCATAATCAGAAAGTCCACTCCAAGGTACTGTCCCTTTACACGCAAAGTGCAGCCTTTGCTGAGAGTGACTCAGAGGAACTGGCCCTGGCGTATGGCAACAGGTCGGCTCTTCTGATGCACCTACAGAGATATGAAGAATGTATTGTTGACATTGACAGAGCTCAACAGATCACCAAGTCTGAAAAGCTCAAGGCTAAACTTGCAGGGCGCAGAGTCGAATGTTTGGCCCTGAGAAACAACGAGAGTTATTGTCAAGAGCAGCAGCAAATTGATGTAAAAACACTACTGAAAGCATCCAAAGAGATTCCATGTGCATCTGAATCGATCACAATTAAGTTTGACGAGAAGTATGGAAGGCATGTAGTAGCAACTGAAGATATAAAGCCTGGTACCGTTATCACTGTGGAAAAAGCATATGCTACAGTTGTCAAGAAACCTAGAATTTACCTTAATTGTGCCCACTGCTTAAATCTTTGTTGGAACGCGATTCCTTGTGACTCGTGTACAACTGCTATTTTTTGTTCAGAGAAGTGCAAAGAGAATGCTTGGTTGCAGTACCATGATGTAGATTGTTCTATCTTCCCTCTACTTGATTTAGATAATCAAGAAGACCATTTCTGTATCAAGCTAGCTATAAGAGTATTCATTGTGGCAGTTAAAAAAGAAGGTCTAGCCAATATAATCAAGGAACATTATTTCTATGACAAGGATAATACAAGTAAATTAAAGATTTGAGACATTACTCCTGATTTGCCTTTGTTCCTTGCTAGTTACTCTGCTAAACAATTTTTCTTGCAGGTACATTTGTGGATGCATTTTTTGACGATAATATATTTCAAAGCTCCAAGTTTAAATCCATATATAATTTGTGTAGAAATGACAAATTCCTTGAAATTGCTGAAAGTATTATGCCTCCTATAGTTGAAATATTATACGCCAATACTAATATCTTTGATGAAAATACTTGTGATAGCAATGGCACAACTGTTGATGAAAGAATCTTGTTGGCAAAAAAAATTCTTTCTACCTTGTATGTTATTATGCGTGAAAATGATTACTCAGTAAGTATTATAATTTTAAAGAGATTATAGTGGCTTTACTAATATGCACAAGATTTTATTCGTCATGTACAGTACCTTACTAGTTTTTTCATATGATAAGGAAATACGTTTTTCATCCAACGATATTTTTACAGTTTGACTACTCAAAATTCTTGTACTTGCGGGAATCGTTGGATGATAGTTTCTTTAGTGATATTCCCAACGAAGAAGGCACCCAGAAAAAAGATAATAAATATACGATTGGATCGATGATTGCTCCTTTTTGTAGCCTTTTCAATCATAGCTGCTGTGATAATATTAGTAGATTTTTTACTCCTAATCAAGAAATTGTATTCTTTACCAGAACATCAATTAAAAAAGGAGAACAAGTATGTATGAACATCGTTTCAGTTTATTAAACGTTAAATCTTACAAATAGAAATACTAAAATTAAACAGTGTAAAATAATATACAGCTCAAAAATTTCTCCTTTAAAGTTCTTTGGATTTTTTTTTTATTTTTAAGTTTTAGTAAAAGATGGCCATTTACTGACTGTACAAATTAAATGTTGCAGTTGTACTCAAACTATGGTCCTGATATGTTTATAAACAAAGCGGAACGACAACATGAGTTTCAAAAAAGTCGTGATTGTTCATGTTTCTGTCAAGCTTGCGAAGAAAACTGGCAGACAATCTTAAGTGTTGAACAAGTAAGTAATTATTTTTTTTTAGAATCTTTTTAAAAATACTTAGTTGCCTTTTCGACACGGATGTTAATTTCTAAATATTATGAATTCTAGAGTCTCGACAGAGAGTTGACTGAAAAAATTTTCAATAGAATTATGAAAATAGGTGTAGAGGAAACAACTTTCAGCATATTAGTTGGATCCAGAGAAAATATTGAAGTATCTAATAAAGTGTTGAAGGATTTTGTGAAGCTTGTCCAGGTAGTCAACATGTACTGTAGTGGTTTCCAAGCCTATGTGCATTCTCTTCCAAGCTTAATGTACTTCCTTTCTTTTTTTGGAGACTTGTATGGAATGAAAAATGATGTACCGCACATTTGTTAGGTAATTAGTTTTTTTTCCAGTTTTTATGCCTTATTACATAGTTTTTAAACAATTGAAGCTTGAAATACATAATTATATTGAGGCACGTTTATCTCTGCATCTATCACATCTCTATAATAAGTCTATAATTCATTATAAAGAAAGATACTGATTAAAATTTTTTTTTTTTTATGTTTATAAAACGTTTAAGCAAAATTACTTATAAAAAAATGGGCTTACCCTATTCGTCGTTTAGTGTTTTTTTTATATTTTCTATCAGTTTTCTATGGTGCAAATGTATAAATGAATCACCTAGTAATTTTATTTATCTTTTCCAAAACTGTACAGGCTCAGTAAATACTATTTTATTAACAATAATAGCGATTCGTCATTAAAGTATGACTTACTTATCTTCATGGTCAGAATTTTTGTCCGTCAGTTCAAATTTTTTTAGCATAATATTGAATCTCATACTTGGAAAAAAAAAAATTTTAGATTCCAAATACCTAAGACGCTTCAAGTACATTAACTCAATTTTACTTTGTAAACTAAATTTTTTACTTTAATGACGCTAAACCATAAGGATTTGTGGTATTAGTACTTTTTAAATAAAAATGTAAAAGAAATAAAGAATAACATTAAGATCATACAAAATAATTTTGTAAACTGATTCTGTTGAGAACTACTTTTAATGTAAGAATGTATGCATGTGCTACACTATTGCTTTTATTGCCTGTGTAAGGAGTCGTCTTTAAAGATAAGATGTATTTTTATTAATGTTTACAGATAACTTTTTTTTATGTAGCATGTGCTGCACAGCAACAACAAATAAATTTAATTTATAAAATATATTCAAAGTGTGTTTTATATACAAATACAGTCCAAAATTTTGCTAAGTGTAAAGAACTTTTGAAACGAGAGGGTAAAAAAAAATGTCTGTTGTCCAATGACTTGAATGTTTCTACCCAATGTGAAAAATTGTAGAATTCTAAAGTAATTACTCATTATGATGATAAGCTTTTTCTATATGCCTTGATTATATTTCTATAACCTTGGAATTGAGACTCAGATATGCTAGTTGTAGTATTTATCTGTTAGACAAGATTTAATTCATCCCTGTATAACCAAGGTCTTACTCTATCCAATCGTTATTAAATATTTCCTTTTTTAACTGTAAATGCACGTGAACGTTTCCGAGGTTGGTGACCCAGTTTAGCTTTATAATATTTAATTTTCGAATCTTATTGAAGATTTTTTTAACTTACTTTCCCAAAAATGAAATCAAAGAAAAATTATGAGAATTGTTTGAATCATTGTTACTAAGAAATATACCTTATTTAAGCAAAAGTATGCAGGGGCACGAATTCAAGTTTTACTTTTTAATTTGTTTACCCAAGAATTGAAGTAAAAATTATAACATCAAGGATACTAACATTAAAAACGATTGAGAGTCTGCTGTATAAAAATATTTCACGGAGTCAAAAGAAATTAAAGTTATTTTTAGTAGATTAAAAGTTCTATATATTGTTTAACCTCACTGAATTAATTTTGTAAAATCGTTAACTTTTCCAACAAAACTGAGATGCTCGTAGCTTGCAATTTTATTGACATCATACATTCGCTCAAATTAAATAAGGTTAATTTAATTTAATCTACGATGATAACGCTTAATCAAAATATCGAAAAGTCGTAAAACAAATCTTTCCTTGTGGATAACATATTATACAGGATATGAAGTTTTAAATTAAACTTTTAAAAATATTCGTCTGATGACTGAAAAAATATATCATTTATTTTAAAAGCTTCTCTGCATATCATATAATATATTTTACAAAATATCTATTTCCAAATACGTATAGGTTTACATTTTAGCTCGCAAAAGACAAGATTCACTTGTAACTAATATATAATATCTCAGCGTCGCTCAGAGTGGAGCCGAAGTTACAGGTGGTAAGGACGTCTACTTTCCTCCAGCACAATCTTGCCGATGTAGCAGCTTTCCATGCTGGTCACCGCAACGCCGACCTCCTGAGCTGCTCTCATATTCGTTTGAAACACACTGTCACGTTGAAAGAGTCAGCAAAACTCATCAAAAAGGTTTACGACATTTTCAATTAATCCATGACTTTTTGTTTACCTCATTTTCCAGTTGTCCCCGTAAGGCATAGTGTCCCTCGGTAAAAACGATGTGATCCCATTACTGTTTCCAAGTATGAGTACTACGTCATTTTTGAAACTTGACTCCAACTGCTCTTTATTGCTACTTCGATAAATTATGCGAGCTTGTATTTCTCTTGGCAGTTCTATGCTAACAAACAATAGCCTGGTAGTTGTGGACAGAGCAATAATTGAAATTAGTTTCAAAATCACTGATTGTACACTATATCTCAAGCGAAAAGTAAAAAATTGAGTGAGTACCTGTGATAAGATTTTATGTCATTATTGATGAGCTTCAAGCAACCGCCACCTTCGTAGGACAAATCGTAAGAAAACTGAATACAATTTTTCCCATTGTATGAGTCAGTTTTATCCTCAAGCGTAACTCGATTGCCTAGAGTCTTAACGACTTCGTGCTCAGTTTCAAAAACGCATTCCTGTGGTTTCGGCTGAGTTTTATCGTTATTTGTGATTGGTGGGGAAATCTTCGTTGAAGTGAACATCAAATGTAAACAGGCTGCAACTGTTTGATGCTTTTGCATTGACATGTTGTAAAAAGAACTATTGCTTGCTATTGTTTCGTGAGTCTCCGGATCCTGGTAAGTGATTTGCTGAAATGTAAAGTCCGACATTCAAGATTGAGCTTTAAAAAGTCCGGTGTATGTCATTATGTTTTTTATATTTTTCTTAATTTGCACCACTTACAGTTCCATATTCGTAATACTTTGTTCCAGCTCCTCTGCAAAAAGTTGTTATGAACCGTTCGTCTTGGTAAACAGGTACATGTACATAGAGAAACGGCAGAAGCTGAGCCCAAAAAATGTTCTCTAATTTCGGAAAAGTTTCAGGGCCAAAGTACTCAAACGTCCAAGCTGGAGCAAATATGGCAACGGAAAGTCCCTGGTTTCTTATTCTCTGCAGTGCCTGTTAATGTGAAAACAACGACAATGATAATTATTTGATGTGGAAAAAAAAAGAATGTAGATTTGCAATGATTTTTCAAAAAATTATTACATGAGCAGAGTTGAAACCACCTCCACCAGGACATCCTCTTCCCCAAACATCCAAGCCAACGTAGATGTCCCTCATCCTGTTACGTTTGCTTGCACCTGCAGCACTTTTTATCAAGCCTGCGTCAGTCCATGTGTAGTTTAGGAATATTCCATCACATCTGTCAAAGAAGCATCTGCAAAAATTTATAACAAATTAAAAAAGGATAAGTGCCAGAAAACCTGATTTTAACTCTAATTACATAACAATTAACGTTTACTGAAAAAAATCAAACAATCAAAATTAAAATCTTCAATAAAAAATGTGTCTTACTCATTACTTTTGTTCAATTCATTTTGCCAACTCAGTGCTCCAGTATTTATAACACTATCGTACCAGATCACTTCTGACCCAGGTACTTTCATGTGTATGGTTTCAGTCAAATACTGCACAAAAAATGTTAGCTTTGTAACATCATTCTGCTTAATCTGATTCTCAACATTCAACAGCCAACCTTCGAACTTGTAGAACGAGGCAAGCTGTATCAAGGCATCTGCAAATCTGATTATGCTGTCTCTTGTTTTCAAAATCTCATCCCATAGCAAGCAACCTTCACTACTTTCAGTAATCAAGGTGCCAAGAACTTTCACTCCATGCTTGTGGGCTGCATTGATCCAACCAAATGGTGGAATGGTGACAAAATGATGGCTAAAGTATATGAATGTGTCGATAACATTCCAGTGGTAGAAGTGGTAAGAATTGTGCTCATTAGACCCATCAATAAATCTGAAATTTAAAAATTTCAAACTTAAAAACAGTGCTTATTACTTAAAAATAAAGCTTATAAGCCGGTACCAGATGTAACAAATGACTAGGTGTAAGAGTTTTACATACTTGTCCTCCAGATAGCCACCCATCATGTCATGGCATACGATGGTCTTGGGCACATCATCCCTTCGAAGTCTCTCAGGCCTATCAACCTGAGTATCAACATCTGTACCTCTATGAACATAGTCAGTGGACTTTCGCAGCTCTAAAATTCCTGGCCAACAAACCAGCGAATCAATCTCACTGTACAGTTCATTCAGGTTGTTGAATGGCTTGACCACTCGCTCGTTGGCTTCCATGCTTGAAAACTGCAAGTGGCTAGCATGTGTTGGACTCTAAATAGCAAGCTGTCACAATGGTTTTCCTGTTCTAGTGCACCAAGGCCATTGTTTAGTCAGGGCATATCCTGTGATTGATATGACATACAGCGGAACTCAGATATCCTTTTTTTCAAGTGTACCCAAAGCCTTTGCCACTGTGTGCTCCGTCCCGGCGGATGTAGTGTGTCGTTTGTATGATACGTTTACGAATTTTTTTATCTGATAACATTAGGAGTGGCCTTTTGATGTCGCATGAACAATGAGATAGGGGGTAGACCGACTGGGTCAGTGATACAAGGTCGATTTTTGTTTCTGCAAAAAAAGAAAGAAAGAAAATGGTATTGAAAAGAAATTTATTTGCTGGTATATTGAAATAAAAAACATTTTTACTTACAGTTTTTTGAAAATATGGTGGGTGAACATAGAAAGATGTCATGAATTAAGTACTGATGGCTTCAAAAACACTACTCAAACATTTTGCAGAGAAAATGACATATGCTTTTGATAAGTAAATTATTCACGAAAACTAGACGATGCCATAACCATACATATTACTTAGGTGTACTAATGTCACATAGTAATAACTTTTACTTTCGAAAAACTGGACGTTACAATAAAGAACATTGAACAGTTGACAACAAAACTGTATTATGATAATCTTCGCACGTTGACCGTTGACGTATAGAACATGTGACACGGCGTGTGTGTTTACATTTACTAGCAGACGACAAAGACATTAAGACCGCGAACAGAGTTAGTATTTTTAAAATAATTCGAAATCTTGACGTTTCGAAATACGCTGTATTTTCTTTTCTTATTTTTTTACATACATTTATGTCATTCAGTTACAATTTTTAATTACGTCGCAAACAAGATCAGAATTACAAACTCCTATGTGCTTCATAACATTATTTCCCAAGCAATAATTATCTCTATCAGTTATTATTATTTTTTCTTCGTAAAAATTAAACTGAAAACTCTATAATTGTATTCGGTCATTAAATTACGAAAATAAATAATTTTTATGAACAATCAGTAGTAATTCACAGGAATTTTTGTCAGTGATTTCAAAATTTCAAATAAATTAATAACAAATTATTAATAGATATTACAAGCTACAAGCTGTCATTGGTGGTAATTATTAACAGTTATTATCGGTTTGAATTTTTTTAATTTTCCAATACATCACTTAAAAAAAAAAATGGTAATATCAGTTATTTAATTTTGTTACCACTGTTAAAAATCGGTTTGGATTTTTTTATTTGTTATTAAAGAATATTATTACTGATTATATAACTTTTAACAAATTAATTACTTGTTAGAATCACTTGTAACTAATATATAATATCTCAGCGTCGACTCCGTATTTTTTCTTAAAATTAAATCTTATCATAGAATTTGGTTTTGCTAATTCCGTTTCCGGCGAGAATCTTACAAAAAAATCAGAGTGCCCTAACCTGCAGGAATCAAACCCATGAATCCTTATAAATTCTTCATAGTAGCGCATTTTGAAGTCGTGCGATAATAAACGCTTCTGTCGATCACGCTGCACAATTTTTTTTTTTTTTTTTTTCATTAATTTATTTTTTTTTTTTTTCCTTTTGATGATCAGCGTACATTGTAAAGAATACTTCAAAATTTTTTTTCGCAAATCACATTTCATACAATTTGAAAATAATGCTTTAAAACAGTATTCACTGACAACCCTAAAGTTGCACTCAAAAATACGATTTCGCTTATACTATTCTTTTGTTTGTTTCTTCCATACAAATTTAGTTTTTTTTCTTTTTTTGAATAGTCTTTTCGAAAAATTTTTATACAAGTCGGAAAAGTAGACCCCTTTGTTGGAAGCGTGACAATAGCAAGTGCGTGTTCCGTACTATACAAAAAAAACTTTTTAAAAAAAGATACAACTGGGATTATTCCAGCATATTGCGATTTTTTTTTAGTGGTTAGCTTTAAACGTTCGTCTGAGAAATTCAGTTCGTCAAATCGTTGTGATTTTTGAAATTTTTTTAATTTTAATTATTATTGTGCACGTACTATTGTGGTCAATTTCAATGCTAAATCAACGGGGTTTCTGCAATAATACCATCATAGTGAAAGAGATTATGTGTGTACCAGTTATTGCGGACGTGATACTTTGTTATGCAAATGTAAAGTTTTTAAGGCTATTTTGGAACTGAAGCTCAATGAATTAGGTACTCTATAACTTGATTTAATCATTTCAAGTGTTTACTTACCCCAACTCATCAGTTTAATTAAAATATACGAATTATTCGAGAGTACCGCAATAATTGGAGCAATAATACCCTCGTTTACATCATTTTTCTTTTTTTTTTTTTTCCGCTGCACCTCAGAAATCTATCAATCGTACAGTAAAATGACCTGTCTAAAAGTTTTAGCTTGTATGATTACCTACAAAATTTTTAAAAAAGTTCAGCTACGAACATCAGTTGAGTTAACTCAGTCAATTTTTCATAAATTTGCAATCATCTCCAATAATTTTTTCATCTGTAAATAAAAAAATTAATTTTTTGAATAAAAATATAGGCACCAGTAACAAAGTTTTTCTGTGTACGCGTACCGCGTACGCATATGTGCGCATGATTAAATAGAACACAATACAATTTTATGTTTCATTTTTTAAACTTAAATTATCTTATAAACACCGATAAATATTGCGAATAAATAAGTAACGGAGAATTTGTGCCACCACATCCTCGTCTTAAACATAAATGAACAAAAGTAATATGTGGAATTTCCTAATAAGTAAAATTTTTATTGTATTTTTCACTGAAAATCAAGTGCAAAAGCCGATACAATTCAAACACAAAAATTATTCCATGGGTTTTCATTAGTCCCTTTTAATGAGGTTGAAAATATTTTTCCCACGTAAAGACTAGAGTGGGCACTGCTGCTCGGAACATTAACAGTCTGTGTTTTGTTGTTCGAAGTCTTTCACATTTGCAATTTACTTCAAAGTTTTATACAGTGTATTTTTTGTGTTTACTTAAACTTGTTTAAATTCTTCTGTAACAGTGTATCTTTACAGTGTGTTATAAGTTTTTTGCTAGCTACACCGTTTTTCTAAGTTTTTTTTTCCACGTAAATAAAAAAGTAAAATGGAATCATCTACGATCGTGGTTTTGTTCAAGGTATAGTTCGCTCTTGGGCGCGTTACTCAACCATCGTGTAAGAAGATTCACGTAAAGTGTATATCGACAAGTGATTTAGAGACGTAGTATTTGCATACTCTATTAATGAATTGTAGGAGCTTTTTACCATTTACCTGTGTAACATCGGAGTATCCACATTAATTTTTTTTCCCTTGCTTCAAAACTTTCCATGCCGATTTTATAACACTAAAAGCAGGGGCCAATGTGAATCTGAAACGAAGTGAATCATCTACAAGAATACTCGTAGCTAAGGTACTACGACCATGCATGACTCACACACATGCACGCTGGCCCGTGCCGACTGGAAAAAAAATCAAACGGAATACTTTTCAAATCGTAAAATAATAAAGTGACTTTAAGGAACTAACAGATGCAAAAGGTTAACGGGGAACAGCTGCGCTGAGGTTTAATATTAGATATTAGTATATATAAATAGAGTTTAATGTTAAAAACTAGAATAACTTAGAGTTAAGACCCACAGGCTAAGCGTTTGTACTGAGTAGCTAAGTGATTGTAGGAGGGAATTTTACGGAGATCAATGTTATAATAATTATAAGATAAAAGGGTCATTTGCGCGTACAAAAAATCACAAAAGAACGACAAGAAGCATATGCGATGTAGTTAAAATTTGTAATTCATGTGCCAAGCTCATAAACTAAGCTAAAGGTAAGCATGAATGTAAAAGCGTTCATAAGTTTAACACTTTTTGTAGTATGCAACCTATTACGTTAAAGAATAATTTAAATACTAAAAAAAATTGTTTCATTTTTTACGACTTTGAAACGCGACAAGATAAAGAATTACATGATACAGCCAACACGTGTGTACACATACCGATCCTTTGTGTGGTGCAAGTACGATGCGATGCGTGTATAGACGAGATAGAAGAAAATCTCCAAGGGATTTGTCCCTTCTGTAGTATTAAATAGATTATTTTCGAGGGTGAAGAGTGTCTAAAAAATTTTGTTGATTTTGCAGTAAGATTTGAAAGTAAAACTTTTACTTCATTTATCTGTTTAACGCACAACTCTAAGGCTTTTGATGGTCAATTTATCTTGAAATATATTGTAGATAATAAAAAAGTTATCCCTCAGGTAATTCTTGATGGGCGTAATTTCATTCGTATGTGATTGGCAAAAACTAAGTTTATAGATAGTTTAAACTATTTACCTATGAAATTGGTTGATTTATCTAAAACACTTTGTCTTGCCGGAAATATAAAAAAAGGGTATTTTCCACATTTATTTGTTGCAAGCGATAAAAATTATAAAGGTCCTTATCCAGAATCTCGCTCCTACGCACCGGATTCTATGAACACCAGCGATCGCGCAAAGTTTTTAGAATGGTACCATAAAGTAACTTCAAACGTAAACGCGCAGTTTGACTTTAAAAAAGAACTTGTTGAGTATTGTGTGCAAGATGTTAAAATATTACGTGAAGCTTGCACGGCTTTTCGAAAAATTTTTATACAAGTCGGAAAAGTAGACCCCTTTGTTGGAAGCGTGACAATAGCAAGTGCGTGTTCCGTACTATACAAAAAAAACTTTTTAAAAAAAGATACAACTGGGATTATTCCAGCAACTGGGTATACACACGCAGGGCAGTTTTCTAAAAAATGCATCCACTAGCTTTTGTGGGAAGAAAAAGTAAGGAATGTAGAGATCATCCATGCAGATAGATCGCGAGAATATCGTTTAATAGAAGGTCTTCTCATTGATAGTTATTTAAAACCTCAAGTAGAAACGATGAATCCGAAAGGAACCGTGTTTCAGTTTCATGGGTGTTATTTTCATGGTTGTATCCGTTGTT